TTGAGCTCAACTGGTCGACTGAAAATAAAATTAACTTATAAAGATAAATATTCAGGTTATGATTAGTAATGAGCGAAGGCTAATAAAAATCAACTGATAAAAATGTATCCTTAATAATTTATAACGTATAGTAATAAATAATTTATAGCGTATAGTCAATAAACAATTTATAGCGTATGGTTAATAATTAATTTAATTGGTTTCGATGCTAATTGAATTAAATATGCTTGCAAATTCATATAGCATTGAACGAACCATGATTATGATAGATGATTATTGATGATGATAATTTTATTATTAATTTTTGGGTCCAAACAAAAATCGACATCTTTTGAAACCGATTTTCGAATAGTATTTTTCCGGAAATCGGTTTTCGAATAGTATTTTCCCCGAAACCGGTTTCGAGTTTTCATACAAAAACTATTTGCTCGAATTATTCGAACAAAACAGAGAATTTCGAGTGATTAAAAGCAGTTCTAGACTAAAATTATTTGTTATTCAAATTATTGATATTTTTTATGCAATTTAGTGAAACAAAAAAATTGAATAGGATTAAATAATTTTAAAACATTTAATTACCCGTTGTTCATGCCAAATTTTTAACGAGGGTGTAAATATTTCTATGATAGTGAAACTAAGGACAGCTCTCGATTTGCATCAAGCCAGTGCATTTGGTATTGAAAACCGGTATTTTCTACTAAAACCGGTTTTAAAACTGGTTTTTGAAAACTGACAAATCTTAGTAATATCTATTATTCATTATTTTTTATTGTTTGTTGATTCATTATATGTAGTTCTAATTATGTTTAAAATTTGGTATTTTTATTACGTAATGCTCTACATATATAAAAAAAAATTGAATTAAAAATACAGGAAGAAATTCAATTGTCAAGTATTGGATAGCAAATATCCATGTCCTTAAGTATTTGGAACAGTATCCTGTTCAGAAGTGAAGACCCTTTGTGATTTCTTTATATAGTACCTTTTTCTCGAGATCTTTCAGATAAATTATTTATTTTAGGATATAATATGGTATCGCCGCTGTACGTAGACAGCGCTTTGTAAAGTTCTTTTTCAAGAAGCTACGCTTTGGTAACTTGACTCTCGAGTATATTGACTTTGACTTGTTTTGAGGTGAAAATAAAAATGTCGGGGTTATTTTTTTTTAATTACTATTTAAACTAGTGCATTTTAAATTTTAACCATAACGCGATTTGCTGAGGTAGAGTAGAATGTAATGTAAACCCAAATTGGCCCGTACAAATTACCCTAATTCGAAGCACAAAATTAATGTTGGTAAAAATAATTATAAGAATAGTTCAACTAACTTTTTATGCAACTAGACACATCCTAAAAAAACAACTTAATATAGCAATCGAGTTTTGAGCTGAATACGCTGTCAATTGATGCAAAAATTGTTTCTTTGCAATGCATTTATAATATTCTATAGCACTAACTTTTATTTGATTCTGATCAATGACATAAGTACTTGCTAACTTAAGTTATAATGTCCCAATATTAAATTATGGAAATGAAAGTTATGCTATTCATTGAACTTAAACAAAACTTGGGCAATATCGTTGACTGTGGAAATTGCACCGACATCAGAAATCCAGTTGAAATTCAATTAATATACGGAATTAGATGGTGGTAGTTTTGGAAACTGATGCTATAAGTTTGAATGTATAATTTAATATGAATATACTGAAAGCAATATATATTTTAATTTTATTTATCCAATTCAAACAAATTTTGTAAAATGCAATATGGAGACTTACGTTCTTTCTCGAGAAGTGGAGGTTTAGTGGATAGACGTTCACACTTTTTGGTAAATGAAAATATTTATACATTTTTACGTTTTAAAGGTTTCTGAACCTTTTGGCACACATTAGAAAAAATAGATGTATGCATGTGTGTGTTCCGATTAAAATTGTGGTCGACGATTTTGCGAACACGGATCAACCAATTTGAATAATTCAAAAAACATTCGATTCGCATTGACGGGGACACGTGCTGATTAGTTTTTGGCAAAGGCAGGTGCAACCTTTTCGAAGATCCGGGGCAAAAAGAGCTAAAATGGTAATTCAGTTTTTGAGAGAACATTATATTCATTCATTAGACATATGCACATCAAATTATCAGTTTTTTTTTTAATTTTATTTTCAATAGCAATCAGAATACAGGACAATCCTATGAGCTATTTGGCTTATGTCATTCACTCGCACACATACACACACTTTCAAACACACATATAAATTAATCTGATGAATATTATATTGAAAGTTAGAGAATCAATAAGTGATTCTACTATTCTGTTCATATAAAGTTATGGTGTAGTTCTAAGGGTCCTCTATATTATCTTTGGGCAGCTTCTTCATCAGTCTTCTTGAAATTGGTGTCTCGAGAAGCTGAGTGACTATAGAGTTTGTATAATGTTCTAGTTTATGAAAATGTTTGACACTGTTAATTTGTATAACTCTGTTTATAAATTCAATATGAAGATCGTCGTGTAAAGTCTTGTGCTTACGAACCACAGAGCATCTGTAATCTGACTCAATATTTTCGATTGGGCACGTTGCATTAGCACTATGTTGGATTTGCTCGCACAGCCCCACATTCTATGCCATAAGTCCATATTGGTTTATAGATAGAATTGACTTGTGTTCCCAGAAGCCAGTATAGTTCAGCGGTTCGAATTTTTATAGTATTTAATTTTGGGCGAATATGGACCTTCCACGTCAGTCTGCGATTTGTTTACAAGTTTGTTTTGTCTATATTTCTATGGGTTCCGTA